GGCAACACTTAATGTTGGTATTCAAAAAGATATAGGGTAGATTAGGGTAATATGAGCACCTTGGTAATATGAGCATATTTAAAGATTTATTAGATGTAAGCAGTGAAGTTAAAGTTGCTTTATGTTTTTCGAATCGACTTTATGTGGTGATAACAGGAATCAGTACAATTAGCGTAAATTTATACGCAGTAATTAGCGGATATCATCTAATTAAAACGCTTTTAAATTTTTTGCTTCGTTAAAAAAAATCATCACGCGTGAATAATTCTGTGGCGCGATATTTTGGTGCTAAAATAATGAAATTAATTTTTTCAAAAAGAAAAATATATTAGCTAAAAATCCAATTCATTTTTGTTTGAAAAATAATGCATAGAAACATTTATTTTTGACATGCTCAAATTATCCAGTGCTTAATGAAATTGCTTAGTTTAAAGTCCTAAAATAGCAGTGGTTTTTAATTGCTTCTTGAATAAAAACAAAACATAGTAAAAAGTTTTAATATATTAACAATACTAAATATTTTTCTCTACCTTAAATCTAAAAAATTTTAATTTTTATTGTTCAAAGGTTTGAGTTAACAAAATTGAAAAAACAATGTATTAATTTTTTTTTTTTGTTGCGGAAAACATAGTAGTATTGTTTTAACAAAATGTAGCTTAAAATTTGATCTTTTAATGATATGTTTTGTTAATCACGAATCCTTATATTCCAACAATTAGTTCTATTAAGCAGGTTGGTCTTTTTTTACTTAATTAATGCTATTTTTTTGAGCTAATTTAAAGTGTTCATATTACCAAGGGGTCAGGGTAATACGAGCACTTTTGCTACTTTTTTAAAACCTCTGTGTTTTTAAGAAAAAATGTCAAGTGCCCAAATATCTAAATAGATTATGAATAGGGATCCCTAAAAATTGTTTATTTGAAAAAATTTTGGATCCAGCATATTTATTTTTGAAAATATTCCAATTTTTGCTTAAGGTGCTCATATTACCCTAATCTACTCTATAGACATGTATGAGGAAAAGCGTTTTAGTGTATCTTTTGTACACCGCCTTTATCAATTAAGACTTACATCTCGTCAAAAAAAAAAGTTACTTCTTTTAAAATATATTTCGTAATTAAAAAATAAAAACTAAATGATTGTATTCCCATTTGTTTAGTAAAAGATTTCGACTAAATGATTTAGTCGAAATTTGAAGCTATTTAAAAAAAGCGTAATTTAAATGTGTTTACCTATAGATAAATATATATGTTTATACTTATGTCAAATAAGGATACTTTGCAAAAAATTGCGATGATTGGAGCTTGGGAACAAAAAAACCCCACAATTTTGTCCTCCCTGCCCCAAACGTGAGAGCAACAAGTTGATGAAATATTTTTTGTACTATTTTAACTAGACTTATATTCATCGATAAATTTTAAATTTCATAATCAAATATTTTAGCATTCAAAAATTATGACCATATAAAGTTTAAACCCCCACCCCACCCCCTCAATTTGAGGGGGTTGCAAATTTTATATTGTCATAATTTTTGAATGCTTAAAAATAATACTATGAAACTTAAAATTTATCGATGAATATAAGTCTAGGTGAAAATAGTACAAAAAATATTTCATCAACTTGTTGCTCTCACGTTTGGGGCAGGGGGCAAAGTTTTGGGACTTTTTTGTTCCCAAACTCTAATCGTCGCAATTTTTTGCAAAGCATCCTTATTTGATATCTTAAAGATCAAAAAATGCTGGAGGCGCCCCTGGAATAACAATGCATTTTATCCCAAGGCACAACATCTTTCCCTACTTATCTATACATAGATATGTAGGGAAATGTTTGGAGTTTGCTCCATGTCTCAAAGACCAAAAAATGCTGACGGCGCTCCTAGTTATACCTTCTGTACGTGGTCAGACCAATATAACCTGTTTCTGCAACTGTATTAGGCATTGGGGTATAAATCCTTTGGCTAATTGATTCATCAAACCAAACTTTACAATGTAATGTTAGTCTTTCAAGATCATTCATGGAATCGATAACATGTTTCTGCAACTATATTAGACGTATTGCTGTATGATCGACTAATGCTTGAAGGCTTATTTTTTCAGAAAAATTGATAACAGTTTGTTCAGAAAGACATTGTTTTTTACTAGCTAGAACATTGCTATGTACAGGATAGAGACTACAACCTTTACTCACAGCATTATTTCTCAAGTGTTGGTAATCAAATTTGCTAAAACGATAAACTTATTATCTAATATGAGCGCTAGAGTATTTTTCAGAGTGTTTTGAGCATGTTCTAAATCAGATAAACTTTACAGATAATCGCATTTTTTCTTCTGCCATTTTTAAAAATATTCAACTATTAGCATATGACAGTTCATTTAAAGAGTTAATGAGTCGATAGCTCCTACTTTACAACTCTTTGTCTTATTTAATCTTGAATGATTTGGCAGGACTACCGCAGGCCTACCGCAGGTCTACCACTAACTATAGATTTTGTTTTATTAACCTAATTTTTTGATGATTTAATAGTCTTTTTCTTAGGTTGGAGTTAGGAATCAGGTTACATACAGTTTTCATCATCTCTTTAACTTAAAGACCAACGTTTACAATACTTTTACAAAAGAGTTACATATAGTGCATCAAATTTAAAAAAAGTATTTTCAAATATAATTGTAAACATCAATTTTGTCTTTTTTATTTGACATAGATAAACTATGCTGTCTTATGAAATGATGAACTTGATATATTGTTATTGTTTAACATATTACCCGGTGGGAAATCGGCTAGCGAATAGCCAACTATAACCGTAACGATATAGACAGCAATTTGGCCACGAGAACAGCTAGCTTAATAAGCTAAAGACCCACTGGATATTGTAGCTAGCGTCATGTCGTAATAAAATCGCTGTCTAAAAAATTTTGATATGTAGCTATTAACCAGCTATAGATTTGTAGATATTTTGTAGCAAGCGATAACGATTTGTAGATATTTTATATCTAGCTAACGGTAGTAACTAGTAAAGCTACGATATGTAGTTAGCAGCACATTGCTACAAAATTGCAATGTTTATATATGTATTTATCAGGCCGGTAGCAACCGGGTGGGTTGCAGCTCGTGGTGCGCAGTTCGCATTTTACCGACAACCGAGGAATAACGCATAACTTGACATTTTGATGAAAAATGAAGTATTTTATATAAATATTTAAAATAATTAAAGAAATAAACATAACTACATATTGATAATTTTTATGTAAAAAAAAAAAAAAAAAATTTATTGGGGGATATTTTCCGGGGGATTTTTTCTCGAGGGGATTTTTTCCGGGGTTTTTTTTTTCCCGGGGGATTTTTTCCTAGAACCCCATTTTACAGCAAGTATTAAAAAAAGTAGCAGATACTAGCAGCAAGATAAATAATTTTATGAATTCAAAATATGTACAAGAGATAAGAGAGAAATAGAGCAGAGATTTTTCCTTGTTGTCCTTTCAAAAAAAGTATTAAAAAAAGGACATTTGTTACCAAAAATTATATCCAAAACTAGTTTGAATTTTTTTTTAGTTTTACTTATTTATAAATTTATATATTAACAGTTATTTGATAATTTAATAAAAACATTTATTCATTATACCATAAATTTGTTTTACACTTTTGCTTTGTTAAAAACTACATTTTCTCACTTTATCGCTTTTAGAAGAATCAGCCCAAATATGATAACAGTGTTCCATACAGGGTCAAATAAAAGATATGAAGATGAAGAGAATGGAATCAGGAGCAAGGTAATGACAAGCTTGATAAAAAAAAGCAATTTAACTTCGCAATGGATTGTTTAAATGGTTTCCATAAGTAGTTTTGATAGTAAATAATAATACGAAAAGACTTAATGTAGAGGGCTCAATTAGAGGGTTACAATTCGTCCATATAATAATGTCAACATTATTGCGATAGTTGTTTGCAGTAAATAACTGAATTTTGTAAGAGTTAAAATTCACAATCTACTGCAAGCCCCGAGCTTTTATAGAAGAAAAATCAGATTCAAGATTGACTGCAATTTCTGAGCAATCAAATGGAGCCACTTTAGATATAATAATATCAGGAAGATAATTAACGTAGATAATTAACAATAAAGAACCAATTATAAAACCTCGAGGTACCCCAGAAACTATTGAAAATGAAAAAGAGTGTTGACGTTCGAATATGACTTTAATACTTCGGTTAGAAAAGAAATGATTTCTTAGAAAAAAATGATTTAATAACCTCAAAACTGTAAAAACTCAATACTCAAAAAAAAAAAATTATTACTGTAAATATACACTATGATAATTAACGCTATGAGCAAAAGTTATTAGTACAATAATGGTACGATATTAGGTATGCTGGCTAATATCGGAAATATCAGATATGCGGTATTGCGCCAATAATGATAAACAATATTGCACTATTATTGACAATTATTATATCGGAATGCCAATATTAGGGCCGTATTTGCATGCTCATATTGGCCAAAATCAATATGTCAATATCGGCCCATTAACTTGATAATATTGACACTTTCACATAGTTGTACGCACATGGTATTTTATTGTAGTTTATATATTGCCATTATTGTAAATCAATATCAACTATATATACCAAAATGTGAACATTTTATTTTGTTGCAATATTGGCAACAATATTTAGCCAATATTTAAATAAATGGTGCAATATTAAATAAATTGGTGCAATATTGTACCAATATTGCACCAATCTTGAACGTTCTGCTCTGATTATTTTTATATCTGGATACTTCAGTACTAATCTCATCTACAATTGCGTTTTAATTCTGTTAATTCATTCATAGAGGTAAATATTAAAACAAAGACCTAATAGCTAAATTCTTGAAGCACCTAAATAACTAAATTAATAAAAAAAAGTTAACATTTGTTGTCAAGCTTCGTTATTTACATAGAAAATATTTGTCTTTGCGTTTTATTTCGACTTTTAGTTTCGATTATAATGACGTATGTCATATAATGCTTTTTAAGTAAAGAAAACATCTTCTCAGATGAAACCAACTGATTTGAAAATTTAAAGAAAATTTGAAAATTAACTATTATAAAAATAATCTTCTTCAGAAAATGTTTTATGGATGGCGTTCTTTACTTTTTGTACTTCTTTATCTTTTTTCATTACAGGTAATTATACTGTTTGCTTATTTTTCTGTTGCTGTTTTGTTTGCTTTTAACTAAAAAGACAAAAAAGAAATTCTATACCATGCGTTTTCTCTATCTAATGAAATATGTTTCGTTAAGTGGGTTTTAGTGACCATTGCATACATCGTTATGCCGTGTTTATACAGTAAAGTTTAATAACATATACTTTCAAATTGATTTTAAACTTATAAATAATGTTTATAATTCTGAAATTTTTTCTGTTAGTTGTGACTAATTTTTTAATTTCAAAAAACGCACAATAACAATAAAATATGTAGAAGCAAGTTTAAAACAGTAATAAATAACAAGTACACGGTATTACAAGGACAACTTTGGGCTGTATTTCTGTAAGTTAAAAAAACATGCAATAATTGACGCCTAAAATGACTCAGAGTATTTATGATTTTATTGTCAATAAGTTTATTGGATGCCCTATTATACTAAGAGTTTTAAAATAGTGAAAAAACAAATAAGTATATATACATTTTTTTTATTTCACAGAAAACCTAAAACACATTGATGCAACTATAGTAAAGTCTTTTTCCGGGCCTACTTGGTGGCAAAATTTGAAATAACTTTTTTGTAAGATATGCTGTTCGTGCTATTCGCTAAGTTTTATTCAACGTTAAGATTTGTGAAAAAGCTCATCGCCTGTTGGGCGTTCTTCCGTTTTCAGAGATTGAAACGACAATCTCTGAAAAAACAAATTGAATCTCAGAAAGATTTCAAGTGAAAAACGCACCTGGGGAAATATTAAATGAAGTCCCTTTACGTAAATTTCATTTAAAAGTTCAACAGGATTTTTACCTGCAAGAATGTTTCCTCAAACAATAAAAAAAAAGGTCAAACTTCCTCAGAAAATTTTTTTTAATTAAGTTTGCTGGGTAGAGTTTAGAACTTCTATTAAAAGTTTTCAGCTTTTAAACGAAGTTTTTCGTCTGTTAGAAATTTCTGTGAAGTCCAAAGGAAAAAAAAACCTGTTACATTCTTCTTTAAGTATTTAAAACTTCGTTCTCATTTGAATTGTAAAATTTTCTTGTGCAACATTAAATACATTACGCTTGAAGCTTTTATTATTGTTACTTTTTAAATATTTTAGTTTATATTTCTTAGTTCGCTTTTACAATATAATTTGATACAATTTATAAAGTATTAGTAACATTTGAAAAAACTATCTGAAAAAAGATCAGTAAGATCTTATCATCAGTGAAAAAAAAAACTAGTAATAAAAAAGATACTAGTGAAAATAAATCAATAGGTTATTAAGTAACTATAAGTAGAATTTAACAAAATAATAATAACTTAACTTGAATAGAATAAATAATAACTTTGTTAACAAGTTAACAAAGTTTAATAAATATTTCCATAAATATAAATATTATAAACAAATTTTGATAATATTGGAGAATAAAAGATTTTTCAACTTAATTTTGAAAAGATGCAAAGAAGTAGGTAGATCAAAGTTAAAATTAGGCAAAACAATTTTGATCCAAAAATGGGGTGCACGTTAATTAATGCAAAACGGGGTGCACGTTAATTAATGCAAAAATGGGGTGCACGTTAATTAATGCAAAATTGGTTAAAACTTGTTCGACAAAAAGTCTCATAAAGAAGGCTAGTAACAACATAAAGAAGGCTGATATTTCTCAGAGAATATTTATTGGTAGGTTTCAAGGTAAATAGATCATTAAAAACGGAAGGAGAAAAGTTATTTTTACATGTATATATATACAAAACATAAAATGTTAAAAATATTTTGTATAATAATAATTTTGTTTGTAAATATCAAGTATTCTCATTTCAGAAAAAAGTTTGAGTGAGAAAAACGATCAGCAAAAAAACTTTTCTGTTGGCGATAGAGAGATTGCAAATGCATAATAAAGTTAGAATAAAACCTTTTTATTTATGTAGATTCTGGCCTTATAAAGAACTATATTAGAACTTATATATAGAAAGATATTTTTGGAAACTTTAGTACCAACATAGCCAATATGCTGCTTCCATGTGATGTCATCAAGAAATACACCTAAAAATTTTGTATCGCAATCTCTTTTTATTTCAATTTGGTCAATAAAAATATTAGGTAGAGCTGGGGGTAAATAACGTTTATTAGTTATCGAATGAAAAAGAATCCATTTTGTCTTAATAATATTTATGGTAAGTTGACTGCATTTGAACCAGCTAGAAACCTTTTTGAGTTCTTGATTATAAGTAATAAAGAATTTATAAACATTTTTATTAGATAAAAATAAAAAATAAATCAAATTAAAATCATCAATAAAAATAAAAATAAATTAGTATCATCCGCCAATATAAAACTTAAAAAATTAGAAGCTTTATGCAAATCACTGATGTTGATAAAAAAAAAGAAGAGGCCCCGAAATGTATTCTTGGAGAACACCACATAAATATTCAAAATATTTATTATTTTGATAAGGGTTGTTAAAAGAAACGCATTGTTTTTGGTTTGTTAAGTAATTTTGAAACCATTTTAAAATTTCGATATTCACTTCTTAATTTTAAGTTTATGAATCAAAATACCACGATTTACTGTATCAAATACTTTTGATAAATCTAAAAAAATTAGAGATTTCACGGACGAAACGGACAAATCGGATGATTGTATACTTAGTAGAACTATTTCTTTTAAAAACTTATTTTTATATAAAAATTCTTGTTCTTCTAATCTAGTGTAAATAATTTTTTCTAAGATTATTGAAAATGTAGATAAAATAGAGATGGACCGGTAGTTACATATATTAGTTCTGTCTCCTTCTTTGTAGATTGGGATTATCTTGGTTATTTTTAAGTGATCAGGAAAAACTCCTTGTTGTATTGATGGTTTGAAAACTTTAAAGATAATATTTTTTAATTGTTCAAAGCATTCTAGGACTATGTTTCTGTTTATTTAATCAGTTCCAGGGGCTTTGTTTTTTAAATAGATTTAAATGACACATGAAAACTTGAATTTTCTCAAAAACTTTTGAATGTTTCTTTGTGGTTGAAGCCCGCAGTTTCATTAGGGAGTGTTTTCATTTTTCACATTCTCTTCTCAACAAAAATGGTTTCATTAAATTGCAATTTTTTTGCAGCTCTGCTGTCGCTTTCATAATCAGCTTCTGCTGTCGCTATCATAATCAGGTCCTATGATTCACGAATTTGATCCAAATTTGTCAAAAAGACATTTAGAATCTTCTTATTTTATTTTATTTTATTAATAAGAGTGAGCTGAAATTGGATTGATAAAGAAGACTCACGTCGCTAACTGCCATCAAAAATTTAAACCAAAAAAAGTTAAAAATAAAAAACTTAAATCAATTTATCTATTTAATAAGAGAACTTCATCATAGATTTAAATTGGAAGGTTTTATTTAGAAGAATTAATATTTTCAAGATCTCTCGGCTTGACTGTGTCAACCCTTGAACTCCATTGCATAAACAAAAGCTTTTGCTATGATTGTTGTTTTTGATAATATCAACTTTTTAATATCAGCTTTCTTTTTTTTCCCAACACCTGCTAGCTTAAAAAACCTTTCTCTGGCCTTCCCTCATAGCTGATTATTACCGTAATCTAAAAAACGAAAAAAAAAATGAATTTGTTTGCTGCGTGACGTATCGGTTGTGCCATCATTAATAATGTTATAGTATAATAGTTTTCTAATTTCTCAAATAACTTTTTGAACCACCAATCGGCTGCACTCCTAGTTAAATTTACTTTTTTGAATGCGTTTTTCTTTTTCTTGGTGCTCAGCAATAAGATAAAAATGGTTTTGTAACAAGTGCATCAAAGTTTCCATTACCGTTTTTGTACAATTTTTGATCCTAACACAAAAAGTAATAAAAGTAGTAGTCTAATTATAGCTTATAATTTACACAGGATATCCAATTATAAATTGTAATTTTTATTTCTAAATTGCAAAAAAAAATATTTAAAGTATAATTTATAATTTAAAAATAGTTTTTTCACGCCTAAAAAATAAATATTTTTTGAAGCTAAAAATATTGTGGCGTAAAGAATGTATATCAAAATTACTTTGCATTGCTTTGTTTCGTCTCTGATTTATTTTTCTAATTGATGATCAGTGAAGTTTTGATTTTTTAGTGAATTGTAGCTGTTTCCCGTAAATTTTACTTTTTAAATTTGATGATTTATTTACGGTGAATGTCGCTGATATATTTTATTGCAACTTAAAAATTCTCACAAATTTCCATGTACACCTTTATTCCATGTATAATAATATTTCATGTATACCTCTCTTCCAAGAAAACTAACTGGGTTGAACACCTGTACTGGTTGAATTTGGCGATCCTAAAAAGGAGCAAGGAAAACAAAAGAGCGTTCCCACCGCCTCATTCCAAACAAGTCAATCTCTTCTAACCTTATCTCCGTATCGTTGTTCCTATACAATCTTGTTTTCTCACAACTACCAATTGTCGTTTAAACAAATAGCCAAAAATAATAGTGAATGAAAATGACGTCATAAAATGACGTCATTTAAATAATAGTGAATGAAAATGACGTCATAAAATGACTTTCTTTTTGATCTCTTATAAAACTCATAAGATTTAAAGGTTTAAGAGTTTTAGGATTTAAATTTAAGAGATTTAAGAGATTTTAAAAGTTTTTAAAAGTTTTTTCAAGAGGATTTAAATATAAGTTTTAAGATCCAATTAAATTTATTGTCGTCAGATCAGTGTCTGATCTTGATTTCCAATGTGCAGGATTGTTAGAAATTGGTCTAGTTTATGTATCAAAATTACTTTTATATATTTGTTGTTCACTGTGATAATCAAGAAAGTCCTGCTGATTTTTCTTTATGTCATCAACAAGAAAAATTTCTTCTGAATTTTTTTCGGTTTCCATATCATTGAGCTTTAAAGAAATATTGATTAACGAAACTATTTTAATTTTTTTTTAATAAAAATTACAAGATTAAAGTATAATTAAATTACCTGTATCTTTATTTTTTGTCCAACTAAAT